TTAATGAACATTTACAGAGATTTTGGATTTCCATTCACTCATTGTTGCACTTTTCTCCCAGCCCACCCCTCCACCCCTCCCCCAGTTTGCTCCTCTATTTGAAAAGTAAAAGAAAAATTCTTTCATTGGTGTAGAATCCCCACCCCCACACACTATGCACTCCACTATGCAACCTTCATTCTGGACTCTTTTCGTAACCGTAATACCCAAAAATATATCATTTTTAAACTACATTTTTAAAGCCTGTAACTTATTGTCATTGAATAGATTCTGATTCATAGCAACCCTCTATTGGGTTTCCAAGGTTGTAAATTACAACAGGAAATTAACTGGCTTTCTTCCAGGGACCTACTGGTAGATGTTAACTGCCTGAGATGTGCAGCCTTTGGGTTAGCAGGACAGCTAGCTCTGGACCATCTTACCATCATTGTTCTTGTTGTGTACAATGAAGTGGAAAACCAACTCATAGCTAATCCTCCAGAAGGTTTTCAGAAGCAGTAGAGCAGCTGGTAGATTTGAACTGCCTGCCTTTAGGTTGGCAACACAATTCTTTACCACTAATTCGAATTGCAAATTGGCATCTTACTTCCAGCCTCTCATATCAGTTACATTGTTCGAGTACAACCACTTAAAGTTCATTCTTTTGTGGATACTAATTCTTTGATATTCTTAAAAAGATCTGGAACTTCCAAGGGATAATTTAGAGTCAAGTACCATTCTGTCCACTGCAGTAGTGCTCTGGGATGCTTTCTCAAAGAGAGAAGGATAATAAAGTCCAGAATGGAAAATGAAATATGAAAGTATGACCATCTTCTTTCAAATAAAAAAAATTCATAAACTTTAGATGTGTTTAAAGCTTACCTTTTTTTTACAACTGAAACTAGGAGTATTTTATTTCATTTGAACTGTGAAATGTTATTTGGCTTAGAAGGTGCATACTAATTACTATGCAAAATATTAACAAGATATAGTTCCGGTTTTCCATCTGATTGAGGGTCTTTCTCTCTTTAACTTCCACCTTTCCAACCTTGATGGATTGGTTAACACAGTGATTGCATCAATGTGATTCAAGTGTGTCAGCGATGAGAATGGCACAGGAGAGGACAGGGCTTAGATCTATTATTCACAGGGTCACTAGGAGTTGAACTAGACCCAATGGCACCTAACAACAAGTTCTGGTTTTAAGGAAATGAGTTTTAGACACAAATAGCTGTAATGTAAGGTAGAAAATGTTTGTTGTAATAGAGGGTCTGAAAATGAGAGACAGAGAAGGAAGTGATATATATGTTATGGGGTATTGGAAGAAGTTTCAGAAAGCTGAAGATTGGGAAGAATATGAGGACTTAATAAAACCAACAAAAGCACATCATAGGCTGTCTTTAGAGAAGCTCACCTGATAACTAATTGCACTTGTTGGTTTTAGGTGACGTCATGTCTTCTGTGTCTCATGGTGAGCCTTTGTATGACAGGCTGAACCCTTGTTAATAGTGAGCCATCCTGACAATCCCTGCCTTGCTGAAGCCCATTGTTGTAGACACTGTGTTAGTACATCTCACTGAGTGTCTGTCTTCCTCTCATTAATTGTCCCTTGACCTTTCCAAGTATGGTGTCCTTCTCTACAAAATGACCCCTCCTGATAACATGCCCAAAGTATATGAGGGAAAAAAAAATCTCACCATCCTTGCCTTCAAGGAGCACACTGGTTGCACTTCTTCTAAGACAGATTGTTTTTTTCTTTAAGCAGCCTATAGTATATTCAGTATTCTTCATCAACACCACAATTCAAAGGCATCAGTTTTTCTTTGGTCTTTCTTATTCATAGTCCAACTTTGAAATGCATATGAAGCAATTGAAAATACCATGGCTTGGAGCAGGTGTACCTTAGCCCTCAAAGTGGCATCCTTATTCTTTAGTATTTTAAAGAAGTCCTTTACAACAGATTTCTCCAAAATTATAAGTGCTTTGATTTTATTCTTCTGTTTCCATGGGTATTGATGGTGGATGCAAGTGCAATGAAATACTTGACAACTCCAATCATTTATCTCTTTTTCATTTATTTTATTTGTTTGTCCAGTTGCATTTTTGTTTTCTTTAAAACATGGTGAAGTGTAATCAGTATTTAAGATCTTTGATCTTCATTGGTATGTTTTTCGATTTCTCTTCACATTCAGCAAGTAAGTTTGTGTGAATAGCATATTAAAGATTATTGATGAATCTTACTTCCATCCTAATGACACATTATTCTTTATAAAGTCAAGCTTCTCAGATTATTTTCTGATCATATAGTTTGAATAATTGTGGTAAAAGGATACAATCCTTATTCTGCACACCTTTCTGGTTTTTAAATCTTTCTATATCCCCTTAAGTGCTGTTCAAACTACTGATTCTTGGTCTATGCACAGGTTTATCATGAGCATAATTAATTAAGCATAATTAATTATAATTATTAATTTTAATAATTATCATAATCATAAAAAATGAATTAATCATAATTAAGAGTTCTAGAAGTCCCATTCTTCACCATGTTATTCATAATTTATTATGATTCACTCAGTCAAATGCTTTTGCACAGTCAGTAAAATGCAAGTGAACATGTTTCTGCCAACATGTTTCTGCCATTCTCTGCTTTTAGCCAAGATGCTTGGGGAAGTGAAATAACATCCACTAGATCATGAAGACCCCAGAATGCCATCAGAGGGGTTTGGAGTTCATTTCGAAACTAACGTTAAAACCACAAAAGAACGCAGAAACCAGGAATAATAATGAAAACTGCATCTTTGGCAGATTAATCCAATACCTGAATAGAAAATAGACAAAAACCTCAGTGTTGCAGGTTGTTTTATGCTGTTGAAATGGAAGTAACTCATCACGGATCCTCTAAGTGAGTTTTCATAAGCTCTTACACTGCGCTGAAGGAGATTGCCTGTCTATCTCCTATGGAGCAGCTGGTAGATTTGAACCACATCCCTTTGGGTTGGCAGTGCAACTCCTTCCGACTAAGCCTCTGGAGCTAGAAAGACTAATTTTGTGGTCATTGTGGCATTAGCCCAGCCACACCTGAACTAAGTTCACCAAAGCCAAATAGATAGACGATAGTTTCAACAATGTGAAACAAGAGGTAAAAATGAGGGAATAAATTTGAGAGGCTTAGTCTTGACAAATGACAAGAACTTGGGGACTGATGTCAGCAATAACAAAGGGGAGTGAAAGATGTCTTGAGGTTTAATGCCCATGTACTGATGAGGTTGACAGTTTCCTTGCAAAGAGTGAGAAAACAAGGTAGGATGAGATTTAGGGAAAGAAAAAAAAATGTTTCATTTAGTCAATAAGTATTGAGCATTTACCATGCCCCGGGCACTATGAGGGGGCTTAAGATCATTATGTCTACATTTTTAAAGCACATTATGAGCAGGAGGCGCTGTATCAATCAGTGTGACTCCATTGGCAGAATTGGAGCCAGTGAGCAAGAGTAAGATAGGAAGTAAAATCTCTTTCTATTGAGTGGAGGAGGCTTCTTGTTAAGTAGTAAGACCTCCAAAACAGGCAATATTTAAACAGAAGTAGACTGATACTCTTCCAGAAATATTCTGGCAAGGGATTCTTGAAAAATCAAGAAGAGAGAGGTTCAGCTAACCTTTCTATATGTTCTCTCTTAATCTTAAGAGTCTATTTTTCCAGATGATCTAGTCTTATGAGTTCTATTATTAATCTCCTGTTTCTCACAATTATTAACTAAATTACGCAGTCTGCCTGCCATTCAGTAAAACTCACACATTTACATCTGTTATTCCTGAATTATTTTTGGTTGGGGCTCTTCTTTATTAAAAAAAAAATCTACCCAGTTAATGTTAGCCTTTCTATCTAATTTAGATGGTAACACTGGTAAATTGAGTTATAAATACCAGGGTTGGTAGAGGAAGGATTTTTTTTTTTTTTGCTTGGTAATATTTTTGTATGGGGGAAAAATCCTTTAAAAAAAGACATGAGTTCCTTTGCCTTCAAGATAGTGATGCTGTTTCTGTATTTTGCTGTAATTCAAGGAAGGGGGGAAAATATATATCTCAGTGTGCTTCATTTTGATACAGCAGTCTTAAAAAAAAGAGTTTTCTCCAAGCACTGTAAAGCTGTGTATCCAATACATTTTATCTGTGCTGCTTTTTTGAAAAGATGATGATAATGATGATGATGATGGAGGAATGAAAAGGAGATAGGGGTCCTAGAGTAAGACACAGCTCTAAGCTATAGTTAAAGCATTGCATTTCCTGGTATCTTCAGAAACGTAAAATTCCACAACGCATACCCCTGTAACGTGTAACCAGTATGAAGATTCAATTCAGATTTAAGCACTTTGGTTTGCTTTTGAATCTTGCTATTTTCTGCATTTGTTTTGACTGCTCTCATCATTCAAGATTGACGCTTGGATGGGTGTGTAGGAGGAAGCAGCAGCAGCAGGCTTACAGCTTGCAGACAAAAAAAAAATCTGCCTTATCTGATGGCTATTATTGAAAATGCGAGGTGTAGCCTGGGCTGGGTAATGAAGGGGAGCGAGCGAGGGGGAGCAAGGAGCGTGGAGCTGCATACTGATGAGTGTAGGAGTACTTGATAAAAAGAATTCTGGCTGCTGGCCGTGCGCGGCTCAGTGTGGAGTACTCCAACAATCACACAGAACGCAGACCAGCCTAAGCTGACAGCTTGATATGCCTTCTTCTGCTGCCTGGTTTTGGGGGCTGTGTGACGTACCGGTCGGTAGTAAAGATTAATATGTAAGAAATGTGGAGCTAGGATCAAGTCATACTCCACAGTCTGACTGGCAAACTATGTTTTACTTCTGACTTTGCTCTCTCGCTGAGAACATTAATCTGTCAAGCTGGCGGGCTCCTTTGATAGCAACTTTCCCAGGAGCATGATGTGGCAATGCCACCTCTCAGCCCAGGACTACCGCTATTACCCTGTGGACGGCTACTCCCTGCTTAAACGCTTCCCTCTTCATCCTCTTACAGGACCCAGATGCCCTGTCCAAACAGTGGGACAATGGTTGGAAAGCATTGGGCTACCTCAGTACGAGAACCACCTGATGGCTAATGGATTTGACAATGTGCAATTTATGGTAAGACGCTCTCTGTTGTCCACGGAGCTGCCTTTTGTCTGTCTTTGCTGCTTCTGTGTCTTCCGTGGCTCTGTGGCAGCCTGGTTTGTGCCCAGACTGGTCAGTTTGATATATGTGACTGCCTCTGAAAATCGGATGCCCTTAGGACTGAAACTTACTGCGTACATGTTAGGCACTTGCAGAAAATGAGATCTGCATGCATCCATATACATATGGATCATATGAATGAACTGGTGAGAGTGCTATTTATAGGCAGTGGGAAAAGATTAGCATTTACAGTCTCCCTGTCATGCTTTGTGTGGTTTTTGTACATTTGGCATTTTAGAATCCTCCGGTTGGTTTGTGTCCCTCTTCTGCAAATTCTGGATTCTCAAAACATATTATTTCATTTAGGCACTGGTGTTTAGTGGTTCGTTAGACAATTGGTCATGGTGACTATGTGAAGATCTGCGTTTTGTGGGTTTGATTTTTTTTTCTTGATAATTGTTCAATAAGCAGTTTCATTAGCAAACTGCCTCAGATGGTCAGTTACAGAGAACGTTCACTTCCTTCCACATGCTGTTAGAAGATCAGTGAGGTATTACTGATTGTTACTTTAGGTAGAAAACTAAACACTTCTGTCAATTAGCTGTCAGTGTTTAGAAAAAAAGAGATTAACGGAGAAAGTACATTTGTGGACTTCTGAGTTCTGGCTGACATGCGGTCTGAACCCCTAGACCCCATGCATGCAAACTTCCCCCTCTGCTGAATATAGGTGAGGAGGGCGGACCAGGTGATATGGAGAGGGGTAAGACAGCTTTCTAATCATTACGTCCCTCCCCCCACAGCTCTTCACTTTCCCTTGGTAAGCTATATCACAGCCCTTATTACTTTTACTTGCTTCTAAGGTCCCACCACATACACACAACAGATCTCTAAATTTAGAGAGACCTACATAAAATAAGCATGGAACACAGAAATGGCTTGTACAAACAATGAATAGCTGTTTCTAAATAAAATACCAGGTCTGACGCCTGCAGTTTATTTAATACTGGAATGGATCACAAAATGCTGAGAGGTAGTCAGATTTATTTTTTTTTTCTCTCCCAGGTTATTCCTGAAGCCTGACTTGACTATTGTATATTGGGAAAGGGTTATTAACATTGTTCAACTTTTGCTGCTGCTTCAAAAATGTGTATGCCTGAGCTTAAAAGAATTAAAAAACCCAACCAATTATACCTAAATGAGCTATAAGTACTTGTGCATATAAAGCTCTTTATAAGCCTATCCTTTAATAATGAAATGCAGCTACCCTTAGTTTTCATGTTTACAGAGTACTGTCACTATTCAGATACACAAGCTACTGAAGGCATTGAAACAGGAAGAAACTGAAAGTTCTTCAATTGCTATTGAGAATCTTGGGGCACTAAGCAGATATAAGAGGGACTTAGAACACCTAAGAGATAACACTAGGAATTAGACAAACTGTCAAACATAAAAAAACCCCAACAAACCACCAACCCTATTGTCACAGTAGTAAAATGCTTGACTACTAACCAAAAGGTCAACAGTTCAAACCCACCAGCCATGCCTCAGGAGAAAGATATGGCTATCTGCTTCAATAAAGACTGCAGCCTTGGACCTACTGTAGGGCAGTACTGCTGTTCTCTGTGGGTTCACTGTGTGTGGGAATCATCTCAAGGGCTATGAATCTGGTATTTGGTGTTGAAAACATAAAGACAGACTTTTAACCAATGTTTATATGTACTGAACATTTTGATAAATCTTTCTTTTCTCCTTATCTCTACTTAAAATAAGGCATTTTGCCCAAACCTTTCCCACATTTTTTTCTGGTCCCATGCATTAAAAGTTAGTTCTTTGGAGTCCCTGGATAATTTGACTAGTCTGAAAGATTTTGATTCAGCATAATTCTCCTGTGAATGTTAAACACTTATGAGCAAATATAATGCCTCTTTGAAAGGCTTGAACTGAAAGGTTAATCAAACAGGTTTTGAATAAGCATCTGTAGAACATTTTTAAAAATTCATGAATGAATTATATATAAGCACGACAAAATGTATCTAGGGTACCACAATCCTGGACATACATGACAAAATCCATGTCTGATAATCTCCATAGATGATTCTTTTTGATTTGTTATTTCTTTAGTTCCAACTATCTTGTATCATTTTCCTGAAAATAAGAACATATTCTGATGCATCAATTGAATAATTTTTTCATGATACAGAATATTTTAAAAAATCCAATAAAACAAAACTTTTAAGGTCTCCTTGAGAAGAGTTAATTATGCAAATAAAGCAAACCGTAAAATGTATCATTGATAAGTGCTTTGCATGCTGTGTTTGCACCATATGTTTGCTCTGGGTGTCATGAGAGACCAGTTTCTACCTTTAGAAATTATTTCTCTATCTCACATAATCTCATTGATTTAATCATGAACTTAAAGTACCCTTTAAGAAACAGATTCCCTTCTTGTGGTGAAAAATCTGTTGGACTTGCTTCATCTCCATTTGGTATCATGTTCTAGCTTTTGTTTCTCTTGAAGCACATTCTGACCTGCATTTATTCATCTTGTTGCCTAAGCAACAGCTACCACACTCCTATTAACCATGGTGTAGTGTGGGTCTCATTAGCATTTTCAAACAAGACAGTAGGCATCAAGAGGTTATAATTAATATTGGTTGAAACATCCTATTACATGCAGGCACAGGTAAATTTTATTGAGGAAAAATTCTGGAGAATTTTTTTCCCTATTTAATTTTCCATTCATGCATGTGAATTTCGAAGGTCTATATAAGTAACTTTCAAAGTAAAGTGCTTATTGAAAACATTAGCAGTGCACAATAAATGGATGAGTTCGTCACGTGGCTGCGTTAAACTTTGCTAAAAATGACTCAGATAATTTCCTAGATGTTGTTGGAGGAGAGGGCAAAGAACCTCCTTTGAAATACCCATGAATTACTGTTATTACTGTTCTTCAGGTTATTAAGGCTTGTCCTTGATTTTGTAGGTCTGTGAGTTATTTTCAAGATCTTCACATCAGAATTCAAAACTTTTACTCCACATACTTGTTCTTGGTGTGCAGAGTTGTTGTGCAAATAGCTTAGGCCTTTTTGTTCCCTTCAAACGATAAAATGAATATAAATCTGTACAAAGACTAGCTACAGAAGTACATCAGGTCACATTATACTTTAGGAAAGTTATAGCTATGCTAAATTCAGTGGCTTGAAATCAAAGGCCCCCTTTCAACATCTTTTGAAGGCTTTCTCAGGTCTCACCCTACCTGTTCATCCTGTCTGAAATTCCATATCAACACCTCCCTCCTGGTTAATCCTGTCTTTCTGCTGCTCTCTGGTCCCTGGGCACACGGTCTGGGTCCTCAGCATCCTATCTATTTCCCACAGATTGAAATAGACAAAATGTTTATGGATTTCAGCTTTATTTTCTTTAAAACAAACAGTTGATTACCATACAAAGTACACATCATTATCCTTTTTTCTTTCTATGCTTGCTTCCACTATCATATTTTTCTGGTTCTATCCTGAAGAATGTTTCCTATGTTTTGAGTCTCAAAGATGGTACTCACTTGTCCTCTCTCCCCTCCCCTCCCCTCCCCTCCCCTCCTGGACATCTCTATTGCTTCCTGTCTCCTCTGTCTTTTCTCTCAGAGGTCTAACTCAATCCCTATCTTGTTTATGTTGGTTTCCTTGAGGACTAGAGTCCACGCAGCCTCTCTCTTCAATGAACTCATGTAGTAGATACATTCAGAAAGAAAAATTACATTTGGCATGTCATTACTCACTCCCTAGAATCAGAAGTTAAGTTTTCATTTGGCTCTATCTTGTCCCCTCAATTAGATTGGAAGCTCAAGTCCAAGTTCTATGCAATCAATTTTCTTGCCTTTCTTACAACTACCAGAACAATACTTCGGACATAGAAGTAACTCTCTAATTTCTAGACGTGTGTATGTGTGTGTGCTGTTTCATTTTTAAGCGAGACACCTCACTTTGCCAGTGGGAGCATGAGGCATTTATAGCTTTCACTCATTCATTCAACAAACATTTCATAAACCTTTCCACGTGTCAGGGACAGTGTTTAGTATTAGGCATAAAATAGTGTATATGACACAATCCTAACTCTCAAGTAGGTGAAATATTTTCCTTCGTTTTATCATATTATTTGCTTCCATACACATATCACAGGGATCTTGCTGTTTGGTCTTCCCCATTCTTTGGCATATGAACTTACTAACATGTGGTGTGTGCGTATGTGTAATCTAAAAATTGCATGAGAGAGTTTATATTATAGAAGAAAGTTTGACTCATAGGCTCACAATAGACTCACCAACTGGAAGTTCTGTTTGTAAACTCCATCTTCCTATATGATTCACTATCTCTGAAAACCCACTGTAAGATCAGCTACGAGTTGATTCCAACTTGACAGTATGTAATAGTAGTCAAAAGAGAGGAAGAATGAAGCTCTTAACAATTCATTTATTTTTTTTAGCTTCGACTGTGTTTCTAGCAAAGAGCCCTGGTGGTAATAGCCTACACATTGGGCTGCTAACAGAAGGGTCACTGGTTCAAATCTACTGCTACTCTGTTAGTAAAAAGGAGCCAGTATACTCACTCCTATAAAGATAAATAGCTTTAAAAAGTCTATGGGACAGCACTACTCTGTCATACAGGGTCCCAGTGAATCAGAAGTGACTTGAGGACGCAGTTAGTGTTTCTAGCAATTGTCATCTAGGTTGATATGAGATTGTCTGACCATTATGAAAATGCTTCAGATGCAGACTTTACATAGTAATAAAGATACCACGTGGAATCCTATCTGAATTGGCGGGGTTTTTTAAAATATATATTTGGATCAATGATGTTCATACAAGATTTTCTGAAGGTCAAAATGAGACCCTGAAATAAAGCTACAGAGTTACTGGAAGTCACTTATTTGGAAGAAAAATAATTGAGCAAAATTGAATTGATAAGTATTCATTTGAA